ACCTCCAGAGCCTGCTCGACCGCTTCCCAATTCCTCCTGCTCCCCCTGCTCCCCCTCCTGCTCCCGCTCCTGCTTCCTCCACACACCCCGTCCCTCCTGCCCCACCCTCCACAACCATTCCCAACTAACGCCCCCAGACCTGCAGTGTTGCGAGACAGGAGAGGCAGCCAGACACCGACCCCTGAGCTTTCCTTTCCCTTCCTCCTTTCCCTCCCCTTCCAGCTCCCTCGTCCCAGGTTTTCCCCTCCCCTCTTCCACCCTCCTTCCTCCCTCTCTCCCCCCACCCCAGTTATGTAAAATACAGAGGAGTCTGGAGGCCCTGGAGGAGCAGGGCCGTGCCCTGCGAGGCCACCTCCAGAGCCTGCTGGACCGCTTCCCATTTCCTCCTCCCCCTGCTTCCCCCTGCTCCTCCTGCTCCCCCTGCTCACCCTGGGAGTCTGACAGCTGATCTCCTGCCATATTGAGTGAGTTCAGCAGCTCAGCTCCCTTGGGGTGTTGCCCTGGCCCCTCTCCTGAGCTAATTAAAGCATTGACAGCTCACAGGCTGGAGGGAGATGACAGAGGGCAGCCCCATTTTGACCTTGAGAGGTGACATCAGCGCCTGCCTGATGCCAGAGCTTCAGATGGAGCCTGGCTCCATCCTGTTGGTTTGATCATGTCTGTGACACTTAGTGACATTGATGGGGGCATGAGTTCCCTCCTCCTATGTCTGAACTATGCATCCTACCTGCTGCTCACGCTGCTGATTCTCGCCTTCTATGCAGTGATGCGGCTCGCCAGATCGGAGGTAAGTGGGAATCCTGGAGAGGTCCAAAGGCAGAATCGCTGACAGCTGGATGCAGGAACCAACCAGAGGTGTTTTGAATCCAGCAGGCCTGGATCATCCACACCCAAGAATCCTGATAGAACTGGCTCAGGCAGTCCATGGCCCAGTGCTGTTAATGTTTCATAAATCTAGGGTTGGAGGGAATTCCAGGAGACTGAAAAAGCACTAAAACTGTGTCAATACTCTGACAAGGACAAGAGGTTGATCAGGCTCTTGGTGAGTTTGATCAGGCTCTTGGTAGGCTTGTTAGCCAAAACTAACGGAGAAACTGGGATGAGATTCTACCAATAAAGAATTCAAGGACAGGAATATATTTCCAGAATGTTAAAAGGGTTAATGGAAAAGGGTGTCCCGACAGATAACCCGTATTTCATTTCTGGTTGAGATTACACATTTGGCTGATAAAGATCCCTGCTTAGATGACACAAACTCCAAAGTTCAGACGGTATCAGTTTTCCGAGAGTCCAAGGAGAGAAAGGCCCGCTGTGAACTTCCAGGCTAATTCCCAGAGAGCAACAGCTAAAAAATTTCCTCGAACTAATTCCCAGAGCAGGTAATTTATCAAAATTCCCAATCTTGCTTTTAAAAATGGCCCATAATGACCATTGGTAAAGTATCCCCATTGCTAATTATTATGATTATTAAAATCTGCCCCTTGGTTCTAGTCTGGTTTTGTGTAGCTTTAACTTCCAGCCACTGGACCATGTTACACCGTGCTCTGCTGGGCTGAAAAGCCCATTTGTAATTCTCTGTTCTCCTGGAAGACATTTACAGACTTTTAATCAAGCCACCTCTGAACCTCTTTAAGCTACACTGACTGAGCTCCCAGAGCCTCTCCCTGGAAGGCAGGTTTCCTAACCCTTTCATCATTTCCAAGGCTATTCTCAGAGCCCTCTGCAATTTATGAATATCTGACCTGGTCATGTGCCAATTAAGGCACATTGTGCTCATGCTGAGGAGAAGCACTAGCCTCTCTGCAGCTCCTGGGTCACATGCCTCCCCTTCCTACTGGAGGAACCTCATCCCTGCCACCGCAACCAGCGCTGCTGACCCAAAGGGTCCTCTGTAGGAGAAAGAACATTGCAGGCTCCCTTCTGCAATACCTGTGCACTCCACAGGCTCCTGGCACCAGCAGTGCCTGCTTCTCCAAGCCTTGGATTATGTCCATGACAGCCCATGCGGGTTGTGGTGTCTGCCCTAGGCTGGCTGCAGATCTGCCATGATGTCTCCTGGCGCAGTACTTCCCACAAAGGAACACTTCCCAGGGGCCCTCCATGGCTCTCACCTGATTGCTTTCACTGCCCACCCAGCCTTTCCAAGCTCTCTCATAACCTGTTGCTTTCTCTCCGTGTGTGTCAGGCTCCACTGCAGAACATAAGCCACAGAGACACAAAGGAGCTGACAGGTAAGCTGCCCCATCCCTGCAGCTGTTGTGGCTGACTCGGGCCCCATGCAAAACAGAAAGGGTCTAGTCCCTCTAGGCTGGGAGCTGTGCACTGGCTGGACTGCAGTCATGGGCCATATCTCCAGGCAGCTCAATGTCTCCTTTATGTCTCATTCTGGCAGCTTCCAGATGGCGTGAAGAAGAGCTGGAGGGGGCTTGTGAATCCCTAGGGACATGGTAAGCGATGCCCTCTCCCCCTCTAAAAAGCCTGCCTTGGACCAGTCCCCTCCTCTAGACTGGCCTTCTGCATTTCACCCCCACTCACGCAACTCCCCTGCTCTGACCGATGTACGAGGCGACCAGTTATTCGCCTCTGCACTCGAGCAATTCATTCCCAGAAGCCGCCATCTCAAATCCTCCCCCATGCACCAGACAGTAGTTCACTCCCTTCCTCTAGCATCATGCAGCTGATGGGATGGGGGGTAGATTGTAAGCTCTGGCCTGGCCTGGCCCAGCCCATCTTCCCCTCCCAAGAGGGGAGAAAATGCTTCGTGCAGGCTATTCAGGGTGAAAGGGACATGGCAGCTTTCTGTAATGCCCCCTTCCCAGCAGCATTTGAGACCTGGACCCTCATCCCTGCAGCACAAAGCAACCATTAGCATTGAAAAAGAGGCTCCATTATTTGGGAGCAGTAGTAGGCCATTATACTTTATGTTGACACACTGCAATAGCTGAGATATGACATATGCTGCCAGGAGGATAGATGTTCACTTTGCCGCAATTAGCCTAGGCTCACCTACCAATCCAGCTAATTACACCTCTCTGATCTCTCTGTTCCCAGCAGCCATGAGCCACTGGAGAAACTCACCCTGGGTCACTGCCTCTGCCTCGTGGAGGAGAGGATACAGTATGTGGCCAGACACCTGGATGAAGTGCTCATACCGTAAGGCAATGCACGGGGGGGACCAGACTCAGGAGGATGCTGGGGGCTGGTGGAGGGAGGGAGTGAATGCAGAAAGGAGAGGACAAGGAAAACCAGACATTCCAAGATCCTAAAATATCAGGGAAAAGCCTCCTAAGAGTCTTCAGCTTCCCAAATTAGGAGCCTGTGACAGGGACATTAGGGCGCATCCAAAATTCAAAGCAAAGAGAACAAACTAGGGCTGGGACAAGCATCAAACCCATATGTACAGCAGGGTCCCCCAGCAGGTGGCTGTCTGGACCCGCCTCCTGCTCCCCATGAAAGGCACAGCCATCGGGTGATAGCCTGGGAGGGGGGGTCCCCCGCCACTGGACTGGAAGGTTCAGGGGACCGGGCAGGCCTAGGAACTCCCCAGGCTGCCTTTGGAGGAAGAGTCAGGCAGCAGGGAAGGGATTGCAAACAGGCTCAGCTGGGCAGGAGGAGGCGAGCCCGATAGAGCCAGGAAGGTGGTGACAGAGAAGGGCTGCTGTGGGACGGGTGCCAGCCTTGAGAGCCAAACCAGGGAGTGACCCACACCAGAGAACCAGTGACTGGTGCAACTCAGGACCTTCTGGTGGGAAGGGCGGGTCCTCTGCCACAAGGGGATTGTCCGAACGACTGTACAGAATGAAGCCGTACGAGTCAGTTGCCCTGATGGTGAGAGGACTAGGAGCGAGAATGTACCTGGGAGTCACCGTGGACGAAAGGGGGACTGTGCAGAATCAGTGCCCCAAAGGAGCTACAGCAAGACTGTGAGGCAGCTGAACCCCGCCCAAAGGAGCCATATTTGGGAAGAGAGCTGAGGGGAAGTGAAGGTGGAAGTGCAAGCAAAGGAGCATGTTGCAGAGGGAAGTTATCCCCTCCAAGGGGGATGCCAGAGTTGCCACTCCCACAGAGGAGATCTGCGAAGCATCAAAGCAAGATCCATGCCTGCTGGGGTCAGATTCCCGAAATTTAACTGGACTGTGGGTAGCCCAGGCAGTTTTAGTTGGACAGATTCCTGGAGGTTGGATCACGTGACATAATCTCTAGGTAAATCTTCATCTTTTAATTCTTGAAAACTCCAGGGCATTGAGATGAGGTGAGGGTAGCTCAGCGCATTTCTACAGGACCCTCGGGGCAGGTGATAGGAGAGGACAGACAGGCCAGGAATGATAAAGGTGCTCTGAAGCTAAGAACCCAGGTTCCTAACTCAGAGGTGTCCCATCTACAGAAACCCGAGCACCTGAAGAGGGATTGTCCCTGGAAGCAAGAGTTTAACCCAGACTGTGTGTCCACCCCACCCCACAAGGGAAGGGACTAAGTTGTCCCTGTGGCCAATGAATCCTACAAGGCGCACCTGGAGGGAGGGACAGGAGCAGGGGAGGGATTGCGAACAGGCCCGGCTGGAGGGAGTAGGCTGGGCTGATAAAGCCAGGAAGCTGGCAGCAGAGAGGGGCTGCTGCTGGAGAGTATAGGGCCTGCTTGGGCAGAGGGAGGAGCTTACAGACCTGGCACACCCAGCCTATGTATGGGGTGGAACCAGAAGTGGTAGGAAGAAGTCCAGGGATGGAGCGGTGGCGGCTAGACCAGGATAGCCCAGAACAGGGGTAGAGAGAGTGGGCCCTACTAGCAACTGACGTTATAGCAAGGTCCAGCAGGGCAGGGAGAGGTAAACCTTCCTGGGGCACCATAGGCGTGAAAAAGGAATCAAAGGGATGCACCATGGAAGAGGCCAAAAAGCTGAGTCACCTCACCAGGGAGCTGAGTCAAGAAGAGGCCATTGAATGAGAGAGGAGCTGCAGCCCGGAGAGAGAGAGAGGATGTGATGGTGTGCACCAAAAGGAGGGGATGAACTGTTCTGGAGTCATCAGTCAGAAAAATGTCACGTTCAGTTTGACCCCCACCTGCCAAATAATTTTTGTGTAATTCTAACACATGGGATCAAATTCACCCTTTAAGTCAATAGAGTGCAAATGGAGTTACAACTTGGCCAATTAACTTTTTAATTAATGCAAGCACATATATAAAGAGTGGGGAGGGAGCATAATGAAAGATATCCTTGGGTTTTTCAGAAGAACAGATCACGATAATAGGGTTTGACTATTGTGAGCATTAATACTTCATGTGAAGAATCCACTGTAAGTGACTGAAATCAAATAGAAGACAGTAAGGGAAGGTTTCCTGACATATTCCTGATCTGGATGCCACTTAACTCCCTAATGTAGATCAGGGCTATATCAAAATAACCTCCCTTATTTCAAAATAACAAGTGGAGAGTCCACACTACCAACCCCACTAAAGAGGCTGGATTCATGGAACCACACAGCAGTGCTGCACACAGCACAGGGTAATGCCCACACTCAGACAGCATTTTCTCTCAGTCAAATGCAGCAATGCAGACGAGACTGATCCCATGCATGGGAATCTGCCAGGGGGGATAGAAGTTCCCTCTCTGCAGGATACTGCCAGTGCCAGACCTGGCATGTGCAGGACTGAGGAAGAAGCCGAGCCGCTCCATCCCCTGCTCCTGTGTGCAGGCTCCTGACCTGGCTGGCACCTTCCTATGCCTGCTTGTCCCCAGTCTGTGGGTGTCACGATGCTCCCCTGGGACTTCTGTGCCCCTGCAGGAAAGTGCCAGCTATCTAGGCAACATACAGCCTTGCTTGAAGCACATGGCCATCGTTTGAACTGAGACCTTCAGTTCAGAGATTAGGGCTAGGCTTTATG